CCGACTCCCGTCCTACAGGTTCGACGCAAGTAGCCGCGAGGATTCTCCGCTGGCTACTGTGGGGACGGAGCGCGGACCCGTGAAATGTCCCGTTTGATCTTGGGGCGGCCGGGGGTCCGTGCCTCGCCCCCGCCCGGCCCTGTGCGGGGGCAGCTGGTGGAGCGGTGAGGTGTCAAGCCGCCCGGTCAGCACATGACATGGGAAACAGAAGTGCCCCCTACTCGCCAGAGGGATCCCTACCCTAAGGCCCAGGGCTGGGAGCCCAGAACAGAGCCAGCCCCCCGACAGCAGAGTCCGCCGGTCAGCCCGCCCCGGCCCTGCAAGTAGGACGCATTCGTCTCAGACTCCAGACCCCTCCCATACAGCTGCTTCGGTACAGCCAGTTCTGGAAATGGGCCATGATGTGGGTTCCCCGTCCTTTCCGCCAGACGACAAGGGTGCCACCCCCACCTCCGACTGGGCAGATCTGGTGGCCTGGATAGGCTGCTCCCCCCCACCCCGCACCTCAGCCTGTAACCCCAGCCTTGGGGACTGTGGGCGGCTGAGGACGTCTGCTCCTGGGCTCTGTGCCTGGCCATCCTCCTTCTTCCACTAGGTCTCGGCCCTGGAGGCACCTGGCGAAGTCACACAGGGGCTGGCATCTTGTAGAGGGGCCCACTGGGGGCCACACACCCCGCCAGATGGGAAGGGGGCAGTCTACAGGGCTTGGGGCTTTAGGTAGCTGTGGGGGCCGGCCTGGCCGAGGGTTCAGAGAGCAGAGATCTGTTATGGGGGTTCCTGGTGAGGCAGCCTTGGGGGCCACAAGCACTTTGCCTTTATGGAACCCAAACCTTTCCCCAGGCCCCTCTCCCCTCAGTGTTTCCCATCCCAGTAAACCTACTGTCCCTACCCCTTCCGCTCCCTCATCCCCACTGTCCCCAGGGAGGTCCGGTTGTCTGGTCGACCTCTGAACCCTTGACTGCCCCAGGCCAGGCCAGGCCACCAGGCCTCACCTGGCGACTGCCCCAGCCCCAGGCCAGGCCAGGCCACCAGGCCTCACCTGGATGGTGGCTCAGGGCACCCCCGTGGCCCCTCCCAAGCTACGCCCCACAGAAGCCTTCGAGGGTCTCCCCTTGCTCTTAGGACAAAGCCCACACTCCCCACTGGAGCCAAGGGCCCTGAGTGCCACGCACACCAGCTCCCGCCCTGGCCGGCTGTCAGCTTCCCCCGCAACCTCCGCTCCGTCCATCCGGTCACACGGCCTCTCTCACCTCTGGGGTCCGTCTGCCTAGAAGGACCTCCTCGCCTGGCGCCCTGCAACTCCCAGCCCAATCGGGATGAAGCCCCCACCTCGTGTGGGGCACAGACCTCAGGCCACCGTGCCTCGCGCCCGCCCTGTGCTTTGCTCCCCGCCTCCCCCCAGGCCTCGGCCCCGCACCTGGGCCTGAAGCGCCCTCCTCGCTTTGCCCAGACCATTCCCACCACACACCTAGGCTCAGGCCCAACGCTGCTCAGTCCTGGCCACGTGCTTCCCTGACACTCACAATACCTGGTCGGTGGCTGTCCCGCCCAGGGCCGCAGGCAGCCACGTTGGTCCTGTCCCCGAGTGAGTGCTCAGCCGGTGGAAGTGCCTCCAGCCTCCAGCGGCGCGTGACCCCGGCCCGGCACACTCCCCACTCCCCGTGACCCCGCAGTGGGGACACCCCCAAGCACACCCAGTACACCCACGTGGATGCGCACACTCACTCCCAGGCACGCCCCACACACGGTCACACACGCGTGCTCGCTCACGCCAGCCCCGCCACCGTGCTCCAACAGGAGCCGCTGCTGTTTGCCGCCTCTGCCTGCCGGCATGTTTGCCGAGCGGTTTCCATGGCGACACATCTTGGCTCAGACAGAAACAGACAGCGTAGGGAAGACGGTCTCCACGGAGGGGGCGAGGTTTGAGGTCTCTGGGCAGGCAGGGGGTGGGGGCTCCCATGCGTGGGGATGGCGCCCCCACCCTGACCTAGGCTGCTTCCGGAGAAGGCGGCTCAGGGACGACTCCTCTGGGCCACCAGCTTTGGGAGCTCACTTAGGTCATTCAGTCACTCAACAAACCTCTGTGCTGGCTGCAAGGCTGCCTGAGATGTAGGGCTGGCCCGTGTGGCACTCGCAGTAGAGTCCTGAGGCTGGACCGCTGTCCTCGCCTCGCCCTGAAGGCCCCCCAGGCAGATCGGCGGCCCCTGAGCACCACGGCCCAGCCGCCCACCCTCTCGGAGGCTGGCTCCACAGCATGGCTGTTGGGCCCCCCGCGTGGTGGGCCAGTTCCCCGCCCCTCCCTGAACCACCTACGCCCTTCGCTGTGCCTGTTGAGAGGTGAGCCCCGCTTCCTCGCCCTTGAGTCTAGCCTCCTCGCGACTCGCTGGGGCCAGTAAACGGTCACTGCCAGCTCTGAGCTGAGGCAGCGAGGGACATGCAGGCTTCTGCCTGCTCTGACGGGCTCCTGCGGTGGCACGAGAACGAGCCTGGGCTGGCCGGCTAGACGGTGAGGAAACATGAAGCCTGGGGCGTACCAGCGGAGGCCGCCCCAGACCAGCCAGACCCCCGCTGACCACAGACGCGCAGAGCAAGCCCGGAGCAGCCGGCCGGCCCCCAGACCTTTAGACCTATTAAAATCTCGTGTCAAGTCGCTGAAACCTCAACAGTTGTCACAAGGCAATAGCTAACTTTCAGCCTCTTTCACGGGCCCTAGTCAGCAGCCGCCCAACCTCATGCAGGCAGCACATGCTGGGTGCACTCAAAATTCCCTCGGACGCTGAGGACCAGGCCAGAGTGTGGGCTACACACAGACCTACTGCGTGCCGGCCCTGTGCCGGAACCGCGGGGTGCAGATGCGTGTGAGGCCCATCTCTGCCCCTGAGAGCCCACGGCACTGAGAGGGCAGCCTTAGGAGCCCGGGCCCACAGGCGGGGCACACCGGGGATCTGCCCAAGGCCTGCCACATGCCCCGTGCGGGAGCACACGGGTGTGGCCACAGCACCTGGCTAGGTCAGCCTTTCGTTGTCTTTATGTCTCGCTCCATGGGTGCCTGTCTGGGAACATTTCACTTCCTGGGTAACAGCACATATTAGGTCGAAGTTGGTGTCATGTTTTGGTCCCTGTCTACTGAGGGCGTGGCTCAGTGTGACTGCCCAGCGGGGCCCTAAGGGGCAGGGCCTGAGCTGAGTGCACATATTAGGTCGAAGTTGGTGTCATATTTTGGTCCGTCTACTGAGGGCGTGGCTCAGTGTGACTCCCCAGCGGGGCCCTAAGGGGCAGGGCCTGAGCTGAGGCACTTGTATCTGAGGGCCCCGACTTCTCCCACTGTCAGCACTTCGGAGTTCCTAACCTGATGGTTTTGAGTACGTTATCCAGTGTTAGTCACTGTCTGGCTGGCCCACATCATCTAGCCCGCTTTCCCGGGAAGAGAAATCTGCGTAGCAATGGTGCTGTTCGGCGGCTGCACCCTGATTGGGCATGGCAGACAAAGTCCATTCTGATTGGCTGCTGCCCTTTCGTCCAGAGAGCATTTGCTTGTACCCACCGGTACCTGTGCAGTGTCCAGATGGCGGTGTGGTAAGGGGAGGGAAGTCAGGGCCAGTCCTGCCAAAGTGGGGAGTATAGAGAAGCCCACCCCAATTTAAACTGCAAAGCCTGAGACAAAGCCCACTTGGTCACGAGATCTGATTTTTTTTACACACTGTTGGGTTCCATTCGCTAGTATTTTGAGGATTTTCACATCCACGATCATGAGAAACGGTCTCTAGTTTCCCTGTCTGTCTACATTTGGTATTAGGGTCGTGCTGGCCTCATAGTGAGTTAGGAAACAGTGCCTTTGCTTCTGCCTTCTGGAAGAGCTTGGAGAGGATTGCGATCACTTTTCTTTAGTGTTTGGTAGAATCCACCAGTAAACCCGTCTGAGTCTGGTGCTTTCTGTTTTGGCAGGTGATTAATAACGGATTCAACTTCTTTAATAGAAACGGGTCTTTTCAAATGACCTGTTTCGTGCGTGAGTTTTGGCAGTTTCAAGGAACTGGTCCGTTTCATTTAGGTTACGGGGCTTGTGGACAGACAGCTGTTCGCCGTATTTATGACCCTTTCCACGTTCAAGGATCTGCAATGATGTCTCGTCTTTCACTTCTGACCTTGGTAATCTGTGTCCTCTCTTCTTCCCTTAGCCTAGCTACAGGCTTATCGACTTTATTGATTTCTTCGAAAACCAGCTTTTCATTTAAGATGGCTCTATTGATTTCCTGTTTTTAATTGGCTTTCAGCTCTAATTGTTTTAATTTAATTTGCTCTTCTTCCGGTTTCCTAAGGTAGTACTGATTTTCGATGTCTTCTCTAACGTGGGCATCGATGCTGCGAACGTCCCTCTACGTGCTGCCTCCCCCGCACCCCACAGATTCTGAGGTCGTATTCTCATTTTCGCTTAGTTCGACTATTTCTAAGTCTCTCTTGATAATCGTCCTCTGACCGTGCTGAGGCCTTGGAACATTGGGACGCTCGCCTCTGGGAGGGAAACGGTGACATCCCCATTTTGCAGGCGGAGAAACAGGTTCCAGGAGGAGGTGACTCACAGCCTGAGTGGCAGAGCCGGACTGCTGCACCTGGTCCGTCCCCTCGGACTGGCCTGGACGTTACCACCGGCGGCACTACCTGCCTGGTCAAGATGATGAGCTTTGAACTGCTACAAACTTGGGGTGATTCTGGGGATTCAGAGCTGGAAACCTGGCTGGTCGGGCCTGGGGTCGCTGTCATGACGGGCCCGGGCATGAGGCTGGACAGTCTCCAGTCCGGGCTGATTGCTTTCTGCCTCAGTCACCCCCGGGGCACAGTGCGGTCCAGGCAGAGAACCCCCCCCATGCCCAGGAAGCACGTGGCCGTCTTACAGGAGGACCCCTCATCGGTCACTTCTCCGTGCGCCCACCAGGCCTGGGCCCACTCCCGGGCAGTCTTAGGACACGGCGCAGACTCGGTAGCACCATCAAATCCATTTATCCTTAGTAGAAAATAAGCCACTTTAATAATACATCAAAACGTGTGACTCTGACCTTGCTGGTGTCACCTGGTCCCGGCTTCCCTGAGGATCCCTTGTGCAGCCAGGCCGAGCTGGAGCCCCAGGGACCTGAGGAAGGGACAAGGCGCAGAGGCAGGAGGCCCAGGGAGGTCGCTGGGCCGCCTCAGTAGCAGTCGGCCTCGTTCTCCCCCAGGACGCCCACGGAGGCCAGCACGTCCTGCAGAAGCGACTGAGGGCTCTTCTCCACGTGGTCACTGCTCTCGGCCAGTGTGCCGCGGAGGCCGTCCAGGTCCATGGACCTCAGCACGGCCATCACAGCCCCGGGCTCCAGGTCCCCCAGGGGCTGGTCCTGCTCGCCCACCCGCCACCTCTGCAGGGCGGCCTCCACGGAGGCCACGTCAGGGCTGCCCCCCGCCTCCTGCAGACCGTCACAGGGACCAGCCTTGGCCCTCAGGAAGAGAAGGAGCTCGCAGGACTTCTGGGCCACAGGTCGGTCACAGTCAAACAAGGCTCGAAAGGCAAACTCAAAAAGCCGCACTCGGCAGAGGGCCTGCAGGGCCTGCGCCAGCCGGCTGGGTGGGACCACCTCAGGCGGGGCCACAGCATAGGGACAAGAGGAGCTGGGCTGGCTCAGCGTCTGAGCCAGGAACACCAGCGCCAGCTCGAGGCCCTGGGCCCGGACCTCCCAGTCCAGGTCCCGGCTCGCCACCTGGAGCACCCTGGCCACAAACCGCTCCATGTCCTCAGCCACTTCGGCATGGCCGTCCCTCAGCCACTCGGTGAAGACCTGCATGACAGCCCTCCGGGGGAAGCCCTCTGAGTCTGTGGAGAGGATGTGCAGAAGGTCCTGGAGTGGGCTCCTCTGGAGGACGAGAGGAGGGGGGGGCGGGGCTGCATGTGATGCGGGCACAGCGGGGGAGCCCACGAGAGCCGCCCTGCCAGTTGACGGCTAGTCTGGTCTGCCTCCTCCAGGCAGTGTCCTCCGGCCCTCCCTGTGCCCACTGGTCAAACAAGGGTGACCACCTCCAAGAGACAGGTGCCAGGAGGCTGAGTGGAAGATTTGGGGACGTGCTCAGCAGCCCTGGCCCTGGACCGCCCATGCCCGAGGATCGCCATGGCTGCAGGAAATACCGCCTCCTACCTGCTGGCCTCCCGGGTGCCCGGGGCTGGCGGAGGTGGCATGCAGCCCGTGGCCAGAGAGCTGCCCCAGGGCGGTCACGGCGCTGGCTCGGACATAGCGCTCAGGGTCACGCAGGAGCTGCTCGGCGAGCGCGGGCACCTCAGAAGCCAGGAGCACATGTTGGAAGCCGGCCTGTCCTGGGGGTCCGAGCAGCCACAGCAGCTGTGATCCCGGCTTGAGCCACGGTCACCCCAACTTCCCGAGGGCAGCCCAGGAGTCCAGGTCCCGAGGCGCACCTCCACGTGCACCGCACTCACCTCCCCAGTGTCTGGTCACCTGCGTCAGGAACTCAAGGCCCGAGTCCCTCACCTCCCAGCAGGGGCTGCACAGACGTTTCTGCAGCACGGCCAGCAGCTCTGGCAGGGGCGGGGGCATCACAGTGGCTGGGTCACACCGCCCACTTCCCTGCCAGGCCCGGCCGCCTCCACCCCGCGACCCCCTGGCTTACTCCGGGGAGAAGGCAGGTTACCTCTGAGGAAGAGCTGAAGTTTGGGGTCCAGGTCACAGCAGCCAGGAGCCTTGGGCAAGCTCAGGAGCCACCTGAGCGTGGCCTGGAAGGCCTTCTTCAGCACCTGGGCGGGCAGAGCGGGGCTGCAGGGCCAGCAGGGCGAGCCGGCCCGCCTCCCCGCGTCCACCTCGTGTGCCCCTTCCCCCGCCCCGGCGTGTGCGTGGGGACGGGGTGCAGGGGAATGGAGCACTGGGCTTCGTTTCTACGAGGCAGCAGCATCAAGCAGCAGCAGAACGGGCCTCCCAGCCGGTGGGAGAAGAGGCCGCCCTCGTCAGAAATGTCTGCTGCTGGGGAGGCGGGACTTCGGCCCCCGACACGGGAAACCGCCCAGAGTGCCCGTCCCCCAAAGCCCCAGGGACCAGCAGGCCTTGTGTCCAACTCTCCCCACGGCCAGCTCAGGGCGTGTGGCGTTAACTGCACGCACCAGGGCCTGACTCAACCACGGGGCTAGGAGAGCGGGTACGTTTGCAGGACATGTCGCTAAGGGTTCGGACCCCAAACACAGGGCCACCTGGCTCCAGCTCACGCGCCCCGTGGGGAATCCCCGTGAGAAACTGGCCCAAAGTGCCCCGAGCACTGGTTTTCAACAATGCCCGGCCATAGACAACACCCCGTGCCATCATCTGCCCCTTGAAACTGTGAAATGACCCTGGCCCCGCTGAAGGCCTACAGAGTGTCCCTCTCCTCTGCGCCCTCCCCCTCCTCCCCTGCACCCCATGCTGGTACCATGGGGCTGGAGTCGGGGCTCTCAAGGTACGCCAGGAGAACAGCCAACACCTGCGTCACCAACTCTTGTGGGCCTGAGACAGACATGGGTGCACAGGAGGGGGTGCGTCAGCCCGAGCAGAGCGGGGGACAGAGACCATCGGCCAGCTCCCAGCCCTGGAGCCGACACAGAGGACAGCAGCCCCGGGACGCAAACGAACGCTGCCCAGAACCTGGGCTGTGCACGATGGCACTGTCACTCACCTGTCCCCTGAGACAGCGTCCCCAGGAAGTCGAGGGCTGCTCGCTGGACACGGACGCACCCCGCTAGCAGCACGCAGAGGCGGCCCCCCACGTCGGAGGCAGGGGCTGCCGAGCCCCTGCACAACTGCAGGATGGTCACCGCAGCCCCAAGCAGAAGCGCCTGGGGCCAGGGCGAGGGGCGCTGGGGCTGCGGGCAGAACAGCGACTCAGCACAGGCCCGAGCCCGGGGGCTGCGTGGACGCAGGCCAGGGCCGCACCTACCATGGGCTGCAGAAGCTCCAGGTGGGCCAGGGTCTGGCACAGGAGAGCCACACAGGCCGGCCTGGAGGACAGGAGTGCATCCACTGTCACCGAGGCACTCGTGGTCCCACCCAGCAAGCCTGCAGGTCAAACCAGAAACAGCTCCCAGTTAGGGGGCGTGTCAGCATTGTCATCTCAGGCCTTGGGGCCAGTCGCCAAGCCCTCGGCCACCATCCCACGTCAGAAACTAGGACAGGAGATTCCACGCAGGTGGCTCGCTCGGGGTGACGTCCAGCTGGCCAGAGCTGGGGTCTGAACCTGTCTGCAGGGATCTCAAACAGTTGAGCCCAGCTGTCCCCAGAGCCATTCGGTCAAGGGGCTCAGCTCTACGCACGACACTGGCACCAGCCACAAACGCCGGGTCCCCTTCTCTAATCCTTGACCTGTCGGGCGGCTGAAGAGGCACAGCAGAGGAAACCCAGTCGCCTGTCCCAGAACCCAGGCGGGTCCAGTGGGTGAGTGCCAGGCCCTCGGCAATCAGCACCCTGCGGTAGGAAGAGAAGGCCGCCCCACCCTCCGGCCACCATGATGCCCACTGGGGGGGATACTGCCTGGTCACTACAGCAACACAACGTGTAGACACGGCCGCAACCACGGCTGGGACAGCACGCGGGCACCTGCTGCCCATCGGCCTGCCCCGACCCCAGGGTCCCATCCTCCCGTGCCCGTACACCCTTCTCTGGAGGCACACCTGGGGGCCTGGTGGCCTGGGCAGTGGCTTTCAGGACACAGACCAGGGGCTGGAGAAGGACAGCAAAGGCCTGGGTGCTCAGCGCCTGTGGACTGAGGACAGAGGACACAGTGAGTGCTGCCCCCTACTCTAAGGCATGCTGGCACCCTCCCGATGGCCTTGAGAAGTCTGGGGCGGAGTGCCTGGTGCTAGGCATCTAGACACCCCCCTGACGAATGGCTCCTGCGGGCACTGTGACAGGCCCCCAGACCACTGGCGTGGGTCTCCACAGGAGCTGTTAGGAAGCACCTCCCCAGATCCCAGGGGCACCCCTTCGGCAGCCCGGCCACACCCACCCCAATGGGCAGCGCCTGCTGAGGGCCATGGAGAAGTCCCAGCTCCAGAGCATTCCCAGCATGCCATCTCTGGGCCGGTGGAGATGGCCCTTCCTACATTCTGGAAGATGACCTTGCCCGCGTGCTTGCGCCGGGCTGGGGTGGGGGGCTAGGCCAGCACAGAGCTCTCCCGCCAGGCCCGCTGCCCAGCCCTCCACCCACCTCAGTCCCTGCCCTCTCTCTGAACACCGGGAAGCCCTGGAGACCAGAGCCAGGCTTCTCCTCTGGGGAGTGGGTCCGGAGGCCACTTTCACCCTGGCCTGGGCACGACTGGTTCTCATCTGCCCGGAACCCTGGAAGCCGCCCTCGTCCTCCCCGCCTCTCCGGCCGCACACACGCTGCCAGGCCGGACACGCAGCCCTCTCCCTCCAGGAACCTGTCAGCTGCCCTGCCCACCTGGCCCCCCCACCGCCCACGGCCCCAGGGTGTGCCCATAGTGGTGGTCCAAGGTCCACAAGCTGAGGCCGCTAGGGCAAGGGCAGCAGGGTGAGTGGGTCCTGGGTACAAGCCCAGCCCAGCCGCACAGAGAAGCTCCGAGAGTTGGCTTTATCTCTGCGGAGCCTATAAAGCTTTTGCTAGAAAAAGTTTTTCTGTTCCTAGAGATTGCGAAAGCCACCGCCTCCACCAGGGCCTTGGCAGTGACCCAGGCCTGGCCCGGCTGCACACAGCCTGGCACGTCCCGGACAGCAGCCTCCAACTGTCCTCTGGCTTCCCAGCTCCCCGAAGTCCCTTGACCGTTCGCCTGCCCCTACACACGATGAACCCCCATCCTTACCAGTCCTGCAGTTTCAGGATCCCCAAAGCCAGAGGCCCGGCTTGTGTGGGGCTCAGATGGCTCAGAGCCTGTGCCAACGTCTCCCACAGGCCACAGTCGGAACTCAGCACAGGAGAACTGCAAAGAGGGACCCCAGAAAGTTACTCCTCTCCCGCCTCCAAAGGCACGCGGGCCCAGCGGGACTGGCCGGCCCTGGGGCGGGGCGCACCCAGCAGGACAGAAGGTCCTCCCCAGGCGCGCTGGCTTCCGGTCCCCTGCTGTCCTGTCCTCGAGCCATGCTCTCAGGGAGCTGACGAGACACCGCCCCAAGGCTTCCCGAGGCAAGGCGGCGCCCCAACCCCTGCCCCGCCCCCGCTGCGCCCCGGGGGGCCTGACCGGGCCACACTGAGGAGGAGGTCCACCAGCGGGTGTGCGGCGGGGATGGGGTCTTTCTCGAGCAGACGGGCCACGAGGGGACTCAGCCGCACCCAGAGGACCTGTGTCCAAGGGCTGTGGCAGTGCCCGAACATGGTGGTCAGGGCATTCAGGGCTCGTGCAACCCGCGGGGTGGCAGGGGAGCGCAGGGCCTCTTCAAGGTGGCCCACGATCCTCTGGGCACACGCCGGCCAGTCGCAGGCCTGCGGACCAGGGTGTCCCTGGGCATGGCCTTGCATGGACAGGCCCAGGATGTGCGCCAGCAGCTGCCCGGCTGCCGAGGCCACGAACAGGCTGGAATCTTCCTGCAGGGAGAAGATGGTGTCCAGGATGCCTGGTGGGGCGGGCGGAGAAAACAAGGTTCAGCGGGGGGCTGCAGGGGGGCTACACTGCGGGGCAGCCTTAGCCAGCAGACTCCAGACCTCAGGGCCAGGGCCTAACCACCGCCCCAGGAGGGGCACCACCAGAGGCCGACCGGCCCTGCTTGGGAGCCGGAGCTGGAGGCCGGGTGACCAGCGCCACCTCCTGGGGCTTTACCCACAGAAGCCTCGGCCTCTCCCAGTCACTTCCAAAGCCACCCAATGCTGGGCCTCAGCTACGGGCCAAAGGGCACTGACCCCCGGCCACCCCACATGTTCCTCACAGCCGCCCGTGACACCACGGCCACTTGCAGGGAAGAGAAGATGGCCGGCGAGGTGCGGGAGCAGCCTGCGGCCGCGCAGTGACAGGCGGGCACTCACCGTGGTCAGCCAGGACGTGCAGGGCGCTGGGGTGCCGTGCCAGGGAGCGCAGGCCCTGGGTCCAGCCGCTGCGGACCGCGGGCGCCGTCCAGGCTGTTCCGCCCCGCGGGCCCAGCTCCCCAAAGAGCCCGGGCAGCAGCTCCCCCTGCTGGGAAGAGGAGAAGGAAGTGGGGACCCGGACGGGCACGTCAGAGGTGGCTCACCTATTCTCGGGCCGCCCAGGCGCTTCACGGAACTGTCGCAAGTGCTGCCCACAGCCGGGGGCAGCTGGGCCCCGGGAGGCGGTGGGTGGCCACCAGGGCTGGCCAGCGGCAGCCACAGCGCTGCTAACTGCCTCCAAGAAGAGGCCTTTGGGAGATCGGCCGGGTTTTAAATGGAGGCTCATCAACCTTGTCACTTTACCTCCGAAATCTCCCCCCAAAGCAGCACTGCCAGCTTCGTCCCTGGAGGCTGGCAGCTGACACGGCGTTCTGTGCTCGAGGACCCCACGGGTCTCCACAGCCCATGAGCACCTGGGCTTGGCGCACAGGGTCTGCCAGGGCACCATCCAGCTCCAGGTGTCCCCACCCGGGGGCCCCCCACTCAAACACTTTCCAACCAGCTGTGAGCCCAGCATCCTTACAGAGTTAACTCTCCACCCCAACCCCTCAGCTCACAGATGTCCATGGCAAAATTTCCTGCCACACACGAAAGATTCTTGGCCACCACTGGGACACGCTGGTGCCGACTCTGCCTGAGCAAGCCCACTGGTGTGGTTACCTGCTGAGCCCAGGCTGCCTCGCTGGCAGCACGGTGCTCAGAGCCTGTGACCAGCCCAATCCAGACCTCAGGGCGTCGCACCCTCAAGGGACAGAACCTTCGATCATCTCAGGCTTCAGGACAAGAGACCCCAGGGCCTCGGAGATGTGCTCCCGACCACTCAAGGACAGAGGCCTAACTCTACGCAGCCACGAGGCCTGATGGGTGCCACCAGCTGCTCACAGCGCACCCTCCGTGGGATCTGCCTTCACCTAAGGGGGCCCCCAGAGTTACAACCCCTCCCCAGGGGCAGCTCGCAGCCAACAGGAGGGCACAAAGGCCCAGCCTCCCGTAGACTGTCTGCACGTCCCTGGCCTTCCAACAGCACCAAAAACGAGCAGCTGGCCACGGAGGACGCTTGGGGCTGCCGGGCCACCTCGGTGTCTGTGAAGTGGCAGCTGAAGAGCGGACAGGAGGCTGGCCCAATGCTGTGGGCCCAGGAAGAGACAGCCACCCTCACCCTGCAGCCCAGAGCCTGCGCCTAGCCCGTGCCCCTCGTCCCTGCACACAGGGGACGAACTACCAGACTGAGGGCAGCCAGCAGCCTTTCCAGCCTCCAGAGCCACGGGAACTCAGGGAATTCACGACGCAGGGACAGGCCATCCGCTTGTGACCAGGAATTCACTGTCAGAAAGGCAGGTGGTGAGACAGGTTACTGAAGCAGCCAGGCTTATGGGCCTAGTGGATCTGCCGGCCCCGCAGGGCTCCACGCGGTCCGTCGATGTCTGCTCGTTCAGGAAACGGAGGCAGAGTCCCGACCCGCTTGCTGGCCACGCCCCCAGGATGACATGAAAGCGACTTTGCAAACTCCCGAGGGCTTTACGAGATGAAGTGCCATCGGCGAGGGGGGACGAGTGCACGTGAGGACGGCAAGCACTGCTCCACGCAGCGAGAAGTCCTGGAAAGTCGGCCCCACAGCGGGCTGGGCTGGGCGGGGCTCCTCGAGTCTGCGGTGGCTGGACTGAGGGGCACCCATACCGTCCTCGCCAGGCCACCAACACGGCACAGCCTTCCTGGGGCTCATAGAAAATAGATGTGCCTCTATGTGAGCTGGTGAGGCTCTGTGAGGTGCCGAGGGGTGCCATCGCCATGACTGGCAGGGCCGGACAGGCTCGCGTCAGGCATCACCCAACAGACCCAGCTGTGGCCGTCAGGGGTGCACGAAGCTGGAACGCGCACAGCTCTGAGGGACTCTCCAAGTCCCCGTGCCTCGTTGCTAAGTAGAAGTTTTCATTAGTCAGCCATCATTCAACAGGACTAAGTGCTAGGCCTGAGGTCTCAGCTACCCCTCAGGGCACCCGCGACAGGCACGCCCCTCGCCTCTGTGCTGGGAAGAAGGTGAGGCCCAGGGCACAAACCTAGGCCAGCACGTCCAGTGGGCAGTATCGGAGCAGAGTGGAGCCCGGCTCTGCCTCAGTCCAGAGAGAGCGCCCTTCGCCCCGACACTGCTCCTGGTGAGTTTTCAAAGGGGATTCCACTCAGGAATAAAACCCTTTCGGTACAAGACACGGGGACAGGGGTTGTGGCAGCTGCCACTGCTTTATGCACCTGCAGGAGAATGCCACGCACCTCTCAGCAGCCCGCTCAGGTGGGAGGACCAGGCTCACCTGAAGGTACTGGAAACAGCTTTCCTGGGCCGCGAATATCCCGGCGAGGCGGAGTGAGAACGAGAGGGTTCCAGGACTCAGGTCCTGCGACACCAGCACGCGGGACAGCAGCTCCACCAGGCACGGGTTCTCCTGCAACAGCAGCACGCTGGACCCTGGACACGGGCCCAGCCAGGGCGCGTCACCAGGGGCACAGGGCAACATGTCCCTCAGAGGACCACTCTTCCGGCTGCTCCCAGACACCTTTCTTGCAAGTTGTTAGACTTAACAGTCTCACAGGGAGAAAATATTTGCAACAATTGCAACAAATGATTTGTCACTTTAGTTTAACGCAGACACCTAGAAAGCCAACACATCAACCGCAGGTAAAAGATGCGAACAGGAAATACAAATGGCCAACAAACCCCAAAAGATGTTGTGTCTTGCTGATTGTGAAACAGAACTGCAAATTCAAGCAAAAGACCATTTCTTCCTCTCAAATGGATTCTTTTATCTTAAACTGAGAGTACCTGACGCAAGGAAATCCTATGGCACAGGCATCCTTGCCCGGCCTGGCCGTGAAACCCCTGCGGGTCAGAGCACCATGGGGTTGCCATCCTCACGTGTAATCATCCACCCCGGGCAGAGGCCAGGGAGCCCACGAGGGTCCTCGCTGAAGATCTACTGCAGACTGAGGTTCCGGAAGGAACAGAGAAGAAAGGCAGCAAGAAGCAAGGACACCAACAGACACGTGGGCAAATCTCAAAAGGCACCGACGTTAAAAGTCAGTGACAACTTTGGAAGGGTTTTAAGACAGACTCGAAACACCAGACGATGATAACACGCAAGAGCCTGTGGGGCTGGAGCGAGAGAGCTCTAATGTCCTCACGCTGTGTCGAGCAGAGGACAGACACTCTACTTACTTTGAGACCCTTTCATCCGGTTTGCCTGTAAGGGTAACCACTAAAGAACGTAAACGGAATAACTTCAAAGCCAGAAGAAAGAGTTTAAAAACCCCAAAAGCTTTATCAGCAGAGGGCAGAAGGAAAAAGCAGGAAAAAGGAGCAAGACACGGAAAACTTTAAAAAATACAAAAGAATATGGTGCAAATGGATTCAGATGTAACAGTAAACTCAACATATGAAACAGGTTAAACTGTTAACTGAGCTGCTCCGATGAAACTAAGAGCCGAAGGCTAGCAGCGGACTGTTTACACCAAGTGACGGAGCGTGACAACACAGACGGCCCAGAACGAATGGGTGAAAAGAGGCAGGAGGCAAATTCTAATTTTAAAAAAGCTCGTATGGCAAGAGTAAAATCAGACAAAACTGACTTCAAAGCAAAAAGCATCATCAGTGCTACCGGAAGGAAGTCATTGTTCAAAGAGACAAATCCCAAAAGATTTTACGTTCTAAGCCTGCGAATACCTAACCCAACTTCAAAGTCCATAGAGGAAAAGAAAAGAATTCCAAAGAGAAATTGTCGAATCAACAATCCTAGTGTAAGATTCTTCCAACGTTTCAGAAACATTAAGACAAATTATCAAAAGCATAACAAGTTTGAACATGAACTAAGGAACAAGTACAGAAACTATGTAGCTAGAAGACAGGAAAGCGGAAGGATGAGCTGCTAATGGGTACCAGGTTTCTTTCTGGGAAATACAATGTTGCAAAATTAGATTGTAGAGATAGCTGTGCAATCCCTTAAATTTACTAAAAGCCATTGAATTGTATACTTTAGATGGGTCAACTGCATGGTACGTACGTTGTAACTCGATAAAGCTGTTCAAAAATAATTTTTTAAAATTTCACTACAAACAAGGCCACAATTCGAGGAGTCTACAGATACCAAAAAACTATATCATAGAGCAAAACCCATAGAACGTTTGCAAAAACTGCCTGTGCAGTGCCTCAATCAAACCTCAACAAACGTAAAAGAAGTGAAATACATTTTCTAAGTCGTGAGACAAATTAGAAATCAATAATAAAGACTAAAAAAACCCTACCTTTTGAACCTAAAAGATAGCCTTTAAAGTGATTTGTGAATAAAGAAAAACAATCACAATGAAAAGCATAGTAAAACTTGCAGAGTGCAACTAAACACTTTCAGAAAAATGTGTAGCCTTGGATACATGTGTTAGAAAATAAGAAAGACCTAGATATTCAACTCCAAAAAGAACAGCATAAACTAAGGATGTTAACAAATAGCATAACCATCCTAAAGCAATCATCAGCCAAGAGACCATTTTTACATGAGAAGATTTATGCACGAGGGAAGCCATTGTGCCCTTATTTACAATAACGAAGCATTAGAAACATCATCTAGTGAGAGTGCAATGACCACATAAATACAGTGAATGACGAAGTCAGTAAAATCACCATGTCCATGTGGAAAACGCCCACTATGACGGTAAGAGAACAGGCAAGACTCCAAATCGTATCATGGTGCAACCTTGTTTTCATGAAAACAACACAGCTTTATGATGTGTTAAGAAAAAAGGCTGGAAGGAACCAAAAATGTTGATGGTGCTTTAACTTTCCTCTTTACTCCTCTGTGTTCGAGCTTTATTTAAAGAATATGTATTACTTTCATAATCAGAGAGAAAACAAAACTGATTTTTTAACAAAGAAACAAACAAAAAAATGCCTTGAGAACAAAAAAATTAGTGTGTCTACGCCCCCCGCAGCCAGCTAGCATGGACTGACCACAGGGAGCCCTGGTCCTGGCTGGAATCAGCTAAGACCACGGAATTTCATCTCCCACTCTCCTGATTACTCCCTGGGCTTCAGCTTGACGTGTTCCCAGTTACCCAGGGGGACTCTAGCAGATGGACATCCCTCCTCCGGCCAGGGAAGCCCTGTGCACCCTCTGGAGAAGTCGACAGCAGCACCCTCACCCTTACCTGCTTCAGTTACCGTTTTAAACCAGTCTAGCAGCTTCTCCAAGCAGGTGTCATCTGCCACAGGCTGCCTGGGGTCCACCAGAACAGCACAGAGAGCCGGGAGGAGCTGGGAACACTCTGGGTCCATGATGAAACCAGGGATTCGTCCCAGGCCAGGCGGCTATCAGCTCGCTGCAGGGAGGAGTGCAAAGCCTCAGCCTGGGTGGGGCTGGAGGTGACCGAGGTGGCAGCGCTGGGAGGAAGTACGGTGTAAACCACAAGGCCTAACTTAGGGGCTCGAAGCTGCCAACCTTGGGCTCTGGTGGGAGGGGAAAAAGCACGACGCGCGCCTAGGCCGCGGGAGGGCCAGAGTCGGGGTGTGTGCACGTTCTGGGGCGGCCACGAACACAGGGCAAGCACGTCTTGGTCCGGGCTGGAAGTGTGTCTGTCCCTCCCAGAGTCAGTGCGTCTGCACCCGACACCCCTCCGGCCAGCAGCGTGCACCGAAGGAAGGCGCTCCGTCCACACTGCCGCCCCCGACCCCCGACCCCGGGCCGGGGCGTGCACCTGCGTGTCGGGCCTGGGAGGGGCGGGGGCCCTCGTGCCTGCGCATTAACATGCACGCCAGGCGGAATAACCATAAGCGGCCTGTGGTCAGGGAGCGCAGCGGCAGGGGCTGGGTGGCCAGTGACTCTGCCGGGGTCAGGGCTCCCCCGGGCGAGGCAGGGCCCCTGAGGAAGGAACCCTTCCTGCAGTTTGGGGTCACTCTTAGGCCTATGGACCCGTCCACGAGGACCGCGAGCCCGCGACCGCGGTGGCGCTGAAATCCAGCCCAGACCACGCACGCCGGTGCCGGGCAGCTCCCCTGGCCTCACTGC